ACCGCAGATCTCTGCTCAGACCAAACCTGCCCTTGCGGAGGCACAGCAGCTGACGGTGACCCAATCCTGCTTACCCCGGGAAAGGAAATCTGCCACCACCAGCAAAAGAGGAGGGAGTTACACCTTTTCAGCTGACTCATTATACCAAGAGCAGTCTTTGCCATCAATAGCGCAAACCCCTGAGGCACCTGCAGGCAGCTGGGAGCGGTGCAGAGCAAGAGGAACCTGTAAACGCAGCCGTCGGACTCGAGGGGATGCAAGAAGGGAGGCTGCAAACACCGTAAACCAGATTTTTTTAGACGCAAGGCAACACTGCTTGTTGTAAGCCGTAGGGGCCGGCCCGTATCTGCGCTGCAGCTGCGGAACTGCTGTTGAGTTGGCAGAGCGTGAAGCCAGCGGGGTCCCGCCGGCTCCGTCCCCCTGCCCGAGCCAGCCCCGCCGTTGGGGGATGCAGCGCCCTTGTACCAAGCAATCCACCGTAAAGAGAAATACCGAAAAGGAACTTACTGTTCTATCGGGAACTTCTACATCTGTGAAACAAACATGCTGCTACTCAGTTCATCTACTGATAACTGGGATATCTACAGCAAAAAAAACAAAGAACACAACACATTAAAACATTGTCTTGAGATGGGGCCGCTCATTCTGTCTTCAGTTTCAGGTTAGTAAGTACATCAGTGTCTTATAAAACGGGAACCATTCCCAAGATGTCTTTGTTTTGCCACACATTAAGTATACAGAATAGCCGCATCACTACTGATGCCTCGTGGAGTACGGACTGGGATTTTAACTCCATAGACTACGAGAAAGACAAAAATGCCCTGAAACTATCTGGCTGAACCAGGACTCATACAGCCACAGTAGCAACGCTGCACAGGAATTTCTCGCTTGCTTCTCCTGACCGATACGAGTATGAGGAAGACCCGCTCTGCCTGAAAATAACAACGAAGCCCAGAAAAAGACTAGCAGTCCCTACTGCGAGCGGCAAGACACTGCCTAGGACTTATGCAGGCAAAACTACTCAAAGCCTCGTGACCTCGCGCTAGTGAAAGCCTAGAGGAAACCCCCTGAGATCTTACTGCCATTCGGCATGGCCAGCAGCCTCCGACAGAGCAAAGTGACACCCCGCTTTCTGTGCAATAGCTCTAAACCTGAGAGCATGACAAATAAAAATGCTAAAATTAGTACTGGGGAAGGGGGGTGGGGTGGGGGGGGAGATGGGGATAAAAAAAAGTGTTTGAAACGTGTCTGGTCTAACTGGGAAGAGTTGTGGCACACCGAATTATCAGGAAGCATCACTAGGACAGGCTGTGCGTCTACAGTTCAGGACTGGTGCGGAAGCGGCCATCGCAACTCAGTATCTTCAGAGGAAAGTTTGGGAGAGAATTATGGCTCGGCAGACATGCATGAAATCCTGTACACTTACGGCAGTGCTGCAACGGCCGTACTGCACCATCCAGAGTCACTTCTGTAGGGATGGGTGACGTTCCTGGTGTAAATAAGCTTCAGATTTCATAGCCTCGCCCCCGATTTTTTGGGGTTTTGGTTGTTTTTTTCTTTCTTTTTTTTTTTGGGGGGGGGGCGGGGGGGGAAGGGGGGCGGAGGGGGTTTTTTTTTGGTGCGGGGTGGGGGGTGAAGTTTTTAGAGTCCAATCTTGCGGTGGGGGGGAAGCCGCTTTTGTGGTTTCACTTCCACTTTCCAGCCAGGAGAGGACATGCCAAAATACCACGGGGAAGGATGCTCCGGGTGGTATTTCTGCTTGAGACTGAAAGCAGAAGTGCTGCAGGTCTCGCCAGCACGGTGGGATGTTTTACAGCCTGGTTTTTAAGGACCCACCGGGGGCCGGGGAGGAGGTGGGGACGGTGGTGATGGTGGTGGTGTTTTTGGAGAAGCGCTTGCACCCCTGCCAATCGCCCATCCCTACGCTCCGGCCGGGCTCGCCGCCCATCCCTCACCGATCCCCGGACACACACACACACACACACACGCACGCACGCACACGCACGCACACACACACACGCTGCCTCTGCGCGCCCGAGCCTGCGCCGAGCCGAGCGGGTCGGGAAGGCGCACGGCC